CATGAAACGGGGTTGACTAATAAAATGATATACATAACAAAAAGGTCCTAAATCGAAGAACCACCCACAAAAATATTTCACTATGGTTTGCAACAAAAGTTAAACTAATGTCAGAGCAAATTCAGTGAACAGCAGTGAATCCACAACATCGAGCAACAACTTATGCATTTGTATGATACTAGGTTGAGAATTTGTCGAATTGGTTGTCACAGCCACAAAATTAAACATAAATACCGTAGTTAGCGGTAAGCAGGGTCAAACCATAGAGAGCAAGACTAACACTTAATGAATATTTAAGTAGCGGAAATGAAATTGGCAATTTGATTAATTAACTAAACAAACTAAATGCAAATAATAAAAGCATGAATTTAAAACTAATGAAGACTTTATAATAAAAACGTTGCTGCTACGGTTTTGGTTCGACATGAGACCAACTCACACAATTCTCCTCCACTCTCTACAATCCCCTAAACCTACAAGGCAAGGTAAATCAATAAAATGGCTTTCTGGCACTCTAGGTATAATCCATCCTATCTCACCCGATCACTTAAGTTCGATTGGTTAAAGACTATCATTGAATGTCGATAAATGCTACAAGACAATACCACTAATTGGTACGCGATTAACAAATACAATTTGTCAACACGTATCTTCCAATCAACCAACTTCATAATAAACGCAACAACAGTAGAAATGACATTAAATCCGAACACAAGTCAATTACAATCGATGCGAAGTAATGAAAAGCAATTTTCATCATTTAATTATCTCAAACCAACGTTTATCATTCAGCAGGTTCTATGAAAACATTAAATCACAATGGAGAACTATATTCATCACAAATTATGCTCAAACTATATTAAAGTATCGAAATCAAACATGAAACGAAAACAATTATAATTCAAAACACAATACTACCAAAATGTCCTACAATTGAGCTCATCCAACTAGTCGAGAGCTGATGAGGAGAGCAGTGGAATCAATCTCGATCTTGCCTACATCGTAACAGACAACCGGGAACTCAACCGCTCATGGTGGTGTCGACGGAGGCTAGAGCAGTGGAAACGAAGCTGATCATGGCGAAGAGGAACTGACGACAGCAAGATGATGTGAAGAAGGAGCGAAAAACGACTAACGGACAGCCCAAAATACGAATAGTCGCACTCGTCAAAATACGTTAGTTTTCTAGCGGGTCTTCTGGCAAATGGTGGCAGAAATGGGATCCGAGGTACCACTGGAAAGATCAGGTGATGGGGAGTTCAAATCAGGTCTTGGGAGATGAAAGGTCACTGGACAATGAGCGAAATCACAGCCGAAAGGTGAAGAGGCGCGGCGGCGGCGATGGTGGTTTGCGGCGTTTTTGGCAGCAGCGGAAGCTTGGAATGGATGGATTTGAGTGTGGGGAAGCAAGATCGGCCAACAGGAAAGTGAAACGTCACCGGAGGTCACCAAAAAATGGCCCAACGATGGCTGGAATACGAAGAGGCGCGACGGCAAAACGTGTGATTGCAGTGATGATACGGGACGATGATGATCGGTGCAAAGGGAAGACAAAAGGTCGCCGGAGGTCACCAGAAATTGGAGAGGAAGAGTCACCGGCGGTAACCATTGTGGATGGATGAACGACGCCCTAGATTTGCGACCTTTCACTTTCTTTTTATACACAAAGTGGAATATATCGTTTTGTCCCTACATGATTGAAAAGTAACAAAATCAACCCCTATAAATATGACAGTTTACGCCCTAAATAGCATAAATGAGACAAAATCACCCTTAATCCATAAACCACAACCTAATATCAACTCACACCCTTTCCAAAATCATTCCAAACATGTTAAATTCATAAGAAAAATATTAGGATGCGATTTTCGTGAATAAATTCATAAATTCTTTAATTATCTCACTATGATTTCATTTTAATCACACATAAAGTCTTTTTATCACCAAAATAGAGTCACTTTCATGACTCTAACAGAATTATAAACAAATAAATATAAAGCTTCTTTCAAAGGAATTGAATTTTTTCTTGTGGGAAATAATGTTTGCTCTAACAATATATCTAGGCTCACAACAATTTCTTATGTATTTCAACAAGTCTTTTTCATTCGACCTCTTTTGCAATATTAACAATTCTCATGACACAATTCGAGAACGCATGTCAAATCTACCACAAACTATGTCCTCAAACTCAATATTTCACCTAGCCACAGGCATAAATCATTCAGCCCTCACCACAATAAAACCAGCACAACATAGAAAACAATTCCAATGAGAATTTGTCCAATTAATTACGCAAACCTAGAATATAGAGAATTCAAATCCTAGGGAGTAATATATATAAGAAACAAAAACACATTCTACCAAACATAAAATATCACAATAAAAACTCAGAAAAGAAGTATGTTATAAGGCAATATAAAAAGACATAAAGCTTATTAGGAGAACCTACCATTCCTCAGAGAATCCAATAATGTATCTCCAGAAGATTTCCAAAGTATATTAACCGAATGGTCCCAATCACCAAGCCCCACCATCATGCCCTGATGAGACATGTGTAAAAGATGTAAACTATTATATAATGCAAACCAGACCAACATGTTTTGTTTTTGAGGGCCCACACACTTAAATAGCAACATGAAAAACATGATCAATGATGAGAAAATAAAATCATTTCAACTAGGTAGAGCAATAAACTTTACTTAAGTGTTGGAGAACAAACCAACCAGCTCACATATGAAACACATGAACATACAAGGAAGAGCAATGATGATGGTGGGACCCTCAAACATCTTGCTCAGTCATTTAAGTTAATTTAAACAAAAACAAAAACATACCTCAACAATATGCATTCTATCCCGCAATTGTAAAATCTTGAGCCTAGCACGTCTTTCAATATCAAAACATCTAAAATCTAAGAAAGCCTGACAAGATAAAAGAAATAAAAGAAAACAATGTGAAACTGTGAAATTACAAGAAATGTTATCACTAGAAAACACAAAAATACAAAGTAAAACTACACTTGAAAGTTTGAGAGAGAGAGATGTGAAGAAAAATGAGACAAGCAATCACCTGAAGTATATCTTTTAGACCCATCAGTTTAGGTCGTCCATGAAGCATACTGTAATATAAGTCAAGAACTACATTAGAGTGTCAATATATAAGGAAGTTCTATATCCTATTGGATGTAATTTAACATAGGGAATTTCAATTTAAAAATTTGGACAGTTGTTGATCCCAAAATATCATTCTTGATAATAATAATTAAAAAAAAAAAAAAAAGCCTCAGCTTATCTATCATACTCTTCATGAAAAATCAAGAACCAAAGTTTTATTAACTAGTTTAGGTAATAATCAAGGTTTTGGGTTTTAAGGATATCACTTATTCAAATCAGACTATACTTTAGAGTAGATTCTGATCTCCTTTTTAATTAAATACTTAACTCTTCTCAATAGGGCATATGTTTTATTCTTAATGAATACAAACTGATTATAGAAATAATATAATATATTAGCTGTTTTCTCCTCCAAAATTTATCTCTCTATTCTCCTTTTTCTATCTCTCTCTAATTTCTTGCCTTATTTTCTCCTAATTTTCTCTTTTTTTTTTTCTTTTCTCGTTCCAAATCAATTAACATCTAAATTACATTTTGAAGACTTACAAGAATTGATCTCAGCCATTGCCTATTAGTCTGATCCAATGGCTCTCATTAGTCCAACAAGTCAAACTATAAAACAAGACTAATTGACTGAATTACACAGTTCATTCTATTCTTCTTTTGTGATCAAATTGCTCTGCTAGGGTTTGTTCTTCGGGTAGTCTCAAATCTTGTAATTGGGTCACAATCTTTATAATTGTGGGTTGAAGGATAGGGTTCTTTCAGGGTAGAGAGGCTAGATTAAGTTTCTCTCTAGGATTAAGGGTTACAATCTGATTTGAGGGATTATTGTGAGTGAGTGATTTGGGAATTAGTGAACTATCTTGTAATCTTGTACATTCTTGATCCTTATAGTGCAGTGAGCCCCAAATTCTTGGAGCTCAACGTGGACGTAGCTTATTCTAGTGGAATAAGTGAACCATGGTAAAATTTGGTGTTCTTGTTTATCATTTGCTGTTTAAGTTTTGTGTGTGTGTGTTGTTGTGGTTTTGGTAGAATTGATTAGGTTGAGATAAGATTCGGCATAATAACTGAAGCTAATTTTTTTTGCATTTATATGCTAAGTACAGATAATATTTTGATTACTTTTGCTCGTGGGAAATCTAGCTCATAATATCTTTTCTGTTTTCTTTTTTGGGTTCTTTTATGGATTCCAATGGAACCAGTACATGGACAGCCAGCTGTATTCTTCCAACAGCAGCTGAGACTTTGATGACTATCTTCCTGGATTTGAAAGTATCAGCTTTTGTCATATTACATCTCTGAAGCTAAAATTTCTTGAATTTTATTACAGATAATATTTTGACAACTTTCACTCATGGGAAATCTAGCTCCTCATAATATCTTTTTTGGGTTCTTCTGTGGCTTCCAGTGGAACCAGTACATGGACTAAGAGACTGTACCCTAAAGAAAAAAAGTTGTTATTATTATAAGTATGCTTTTGTTATTGTTATATTGAACAATGAAATTGTACCCTAAAGACAAATGTTGGGGTGTACAAGCTAGAATTGCTTTTGTTATTGTTATATTGCTGGGTTTGTAGAACTTTATTTGTTTACTTAGTATGCATGTTATTTGAGGAAAATGGTAAACTTGGTTCAATATAGATAATGATTGGAGGATGCAAAAGCGTGTGCTCAATTTTGTTTATATACCTCCTTCTCGACTTGGTGTTCAGATTGCTGCTATTATTCATTAGTGTTTGATAGAATGGGGAATTGAGAACAAGGTGTTTAGTATCTCGGTTGACAATGCTTCAAGTAATGACGCGACAATCAAGATTTTGAGGGAGAATTTAGGAAGAAACAAGAAGCTAATGTGTGTTTGGAAGTTGTTTCACGTGCGATGTGCAGTACACATATTCAAGACATAAGTGAGATTATTTTGTGTGTCAAACAATTAGAGGCTAGAGTAGTTATGTTTTCAAAGATTGTTCATATGTTACAGTTGCCACAATGGAAACTCATTCTTGATTGCAAAACGAGGTGGAATTCTACTTATGAGATTTTGACACTTGCAATTCAGTACAAAGAGGTGTTTCTAATGTTATTTCAATTGAATCATAACTTTACTTGTTCCCCAATAGATGAAGATTGGGAAAAACTTGAGAAAGTGTGTGAGATTTTGGAGGCCTTCAACTTTACAACTAATATCATATTGAGGAGTGAGTACCCCGCTCCTAACTTATTTTTGCAAGAAGTTTGTGACGTAAAAGAGTTGCTCGATGAAAAGATAGCTGATGATGATGATTTCATTCGAGAAATGGTGGGAAAGATGAAAGAAAAGTTCGACAAGTATTGGGGAGGAATGTAATTTGTTAAAGGCAATTGTAACTGTATTGGATCCGAGGATGAAAATGACACTGTTGCATTTTGCCTACCCATAATTGTTTCCTACTAACGAAACACAAGAAAAAAATGATGAAGTGCAAGATGGCTTGTATGGGATTTTTCAGGAATATGCGGCGGAAAGTCAATCTACTAGTAGTGAACCACCTGTAGAAATCAGTAAGGTTCAGCGGGTGAATGTACAATGCCCTAAACGTAGTAGGTCATGGTTCAATCAGTTTGTGAGGACAGTTCAAACGGTGCAACATGAGAAATCTGAGTTAGATTGTTATCTGGAAGAGGGGTGTTTGTTATGGGACAAGGATGATACCTCGTTTGATGCATTAGACTGGTGGAAGGTTAATCATATGAACTATCGTATTTTATCTATGATGGCTAGTGAAATACTTGCCATTCCAATCACCATGATTGCTTCGGAGATAACTTTCAGTGCTGGAAGTCGAATTATTAACACTTATCGATCATTGTTGTCTCTTGAAACTATGCAAGTGCTACTCTGTGGGGTTGATTGGTGTTGCAATCTCTATGGAGTCAAGAAAAGTTACGAAGTAAGTTTCATACTTCCATAGTCTCATTTATTAAAATTATTTTTTTATTTTGTCATTTATTAACATTATTCTAACTAAAACAATTTGTTTTCCTTTTTGTTATTTAGAAAGAGAAGACAATGGAGGAGTTTCACCTTTCGATCCTATGAAGTTTTGGTGGACTGTTTGCTGGTATATAACCTTTGCAACCATCATGCTTTTTACCTTCTATGGTGGATAAAATGTAATCATAACTCTTTTTTTTTTTTCTCCTTTTTCCTTCTATGATGAGTATACTCGTCATGTGGATTTTGGTTATTTTCCTTTTCTATGGAGTTTACAGTAAATTGAAGGTTCTAAATGATGTGGTACCTTAAAAAAAAGGAGACCAGTTTCTAACAAGTTATTGTGTATAATCCAATGATTTTTTAAAGTGAAAAATGAATTGGATTATACATAAACTAGAGTAATGCTACACTCACAAGGATTTCCATAGAAAGTGATGTAGCAAAACATGAATGGAAGAGTGAACATAATGAATTCGACTTTTTGTTTCACTTTTCCATTCATGCTTTGCCACCTCATTTTGTATGGAAATTTTTATAAGATTTTTTTGTAAGTATAGTATTAGTCAACTAATTTGATGTCACAATAACTTGTTCTATATATACGTCGACTTTCATGTCTGCGATTTCTCTTCTTTGCCACTGCTTTTGTCATTTCTCCATGACTTTAATTTGGTCTCTCTTTTGCCTTTGGTTTTATTTAGGCATCTTTGAAGACAGAACGTGAAAAGAAGAGGAAGATGTACTTCCCAATGAGGAAGTATGCCATTAAGGTGTAGGAAAGATTGGATTAGGAAGCAGATCTTGATGTTCAACTTATCAAATGCCATCACTACAAGGATGTTGTTTATTATTTTTGTGCTGTTGAATTTTAGATTTTGTTTTTCTTACTCTCAAACTGTTGGCTTATCATGATTTCAAACTTTAATGTGTCCTCAGATTTTTTCCTTAAAAGAGAGAATTCAAAGTTTTTACGATGAAATTATTTGTTTTTTAATTTATGTTGTAAATTAAACAATAATGTTAGATTTACAACCTTCTCTCACGTCGCAACTTGTCAGGTTACCTTGTAAATGGTCAGGTGAGACTTATTTTGTAAGCTGACCAATGAGGAGTTGCCACATAAAGGGTTGTGAGATTAGATTGTGGACCTAACATCACCATAAATTAAAATATCACCTGCTAAAGAAAGTGAATTAAGGATCCAAAATGAATAAAGTATAGCAAAAACAGGCCAGTTTCTATTTGGGCCATCTAATGTAACCCATTAGCAATTCCACTACCATATTACTCTCGAGCTCGAGTCAGACACTACTCAGCTCAGCTCAGCTCAACTGCAAGCTCAATTAGTTTTCAGTTTTCACTATATGATAGTCGTTGATTCTGCCACCAATCCTCGGCTCGCAATTAACTAACCTCATCAGTTTTTCAACTACAAAAGTCTACATTCATGAAACAGCCAAAATTCCAAACCTTTTGATTCCTTCAAAATAGATCACAACACTTCCAACTCTCACTCTCACTCTCTTTCAACTTCACTATGCAAAAGCGACCGCAAGCTGGTTCAGCGGTGCCACCATCCAGCGCCACCAAACCGACTCACGAAGAAATTAAGACTGTTAACAACATTCACTTGAGGAGCGCGTAGTGGTCAGGGTTTTTATTGATGGTTTTACTTGCATTATTTATGTACAGCTCTTGGGGAGTTTACTGTTATCAGTATGATTCCATGCCTCTACCTCTGAGTTCTGAGCAGGTTAGCAAGAAAGGCTTCTCTGAGATTGGGGCCATGGAACATGTCATTCTCTGTGTGCGATAATTTTTAAACTGAGGGGAGGCTTAAAAGTAGTGCTGCTCTTGAAAGTTTAAATTTTCAATAATAATAATAATGACATTATATTAGAATTCTCTTCCACATTTATCTGTGATTACTTTTTCTCTATGATGTGAATGCTGGCTATGAGCTTTTATAATGTTAGTTTTTGTAATTCTATTGTGTCTTGCTTACAGGCATTAGAAGTTACAGTTTGGCGTGAAGGAATGGAATACCAGTAGAAACATTCACGCGGGAAGCCCATGACAACTCTAACATGTCATGTGCTTCCTGTCGATTCAAAGGATCGCCAGGGGACTCGCATAAGATTCTGGCCTAATAAAGAAGGTTTTCTTGACTATTCAATACATTATATGCTTTCTCTTGAAGATTTGGATCTTACTTTTGCATTTGGAGATCAACATTTTTTTTTTCTTGTTGGCATTTGTTATACCTAAAAAGTCATGCTTATGCAGCTCAATAAATGTCTTTTTGTACTAGCTGCCAAGCCCATACCTCCTCAAAGATATTCATACCAACCCTATCTCATTTCAAGAGATGAACAGACGAGAGCTTTCCATGTGTCAAGGCAACTTGTAAAACACTCATTACATTGACCTCAAAGATGTATAAATTAGCACTTCTCTTCACGAAATGAGAGGTTAGGCATATGAGAGCTAGGCATAGATTTGAGCTTTATTATTTCTCTCTGTAAACAAAGCTTTTCTGCATCTTTGTATGCCTTACAGGCAATATCATCGAAATAACCAGAGAATAATAAAATAATAATGGATGTAAGATTTGCTTTAAGCATCCGAACTACTATAAAAACCTCTCTTGTCAGTCTATTATTTATGTTTTCTGCAACATATATAATCTCAGCTCTATATTCAAATCTCATCGATCCATCACGTGTAATTTCTAAGAATGGATGGTTACAGAAGTTGTAAAAATAAGGACATCATAGTAGGCATCAAATATACCTATTCTTATTTTTCTTTATTTTTTATCTACAAATTTGTGAGATACTAATGGTGTGTATGGTATTGTTTTCAAAAAAATTTATCGTCTATTTCAAATTTATGTTGACATTAGGTAACATTGTGGGCAGTTTGTGATGTAGAACATGTAGGAAGGATGCAAAAGGCTATTTAGTCCCGGTCTTTCCATAATTTAGGATCGAGTTGTCTTAACTAAAATTTTAATTTTAATTTCATTTGTTTTTTTTTTCTTTGATTTCATGATAAGCTGATAAAATTGCTTTGAAAATAATGATGGTTATTTTGTACTTATTCCAAGAAAAAAAAAAGTGTTATAAGGATAACACAAAACTTTAGTTCTCCAGAGTAACTCCAGTTGTGATGTACAAACTTTGATCATTGCTAAAGTAATTGAATATCTAAAATCATGATAATAGGAACTCAAGGTTTCTGAAAAATTTGAACTTCAATTTTCTCACAAACCACGGCTTTGTTTTCTCAGATTTTGAGTTTGCACCTAAAGAAAAAAAAATTTTGATTTCTAAAGTAACCAAAGCTCTATCTGCTGTAGAATGTACTATTCATAAGATTGGTTGAAAAACTGATTTTGATTTTCACTTTAATTTGCCATATTTTTAATAAAACAAAAGTTGTTTATAATTTCTCTTTGAGCAGTAACTTTTTGAGTCATTTACTTTGTAAAAAACATACAAAGAGATTGTTCTGTTTAAGATCTTAAAGTTCTTGATCCTTGATTGAAACCAAATGCCTTGAAATGTTGCACAGTGCTTGAGCTGATGTTGTGATATAAACCAAATAAAAAACAAACTTCTGCTCATTTAAAGAATGTGTATGTCATAATGAAAACCCCCAGATCAATTTGACTCTTAGGTCAAATAACTAAAATCCAATGAAAAAAATAAATCTAACTTCAACAAGTAATAACTAGACATAAATATCAAAATCCCTAAAATAAAATATTTCTACAAATAAATAATGAAAATAAGTTTTTTGATTTTGCATAAGAAATTCTTATTTCTCCGAAAGGTCTTTCAAATATAAGTCTCAATACTTTTAACAGTTCTGTAACTTGAATATCATTTTCTAGATTTAAACGTAAAAAATTTTGTTTGTTTTCATTTGACAATATAGTTTTTTTTTTTTTTTAAACAATTATTATCGGTCCCTACAAATCAGGGAGTAATCGAAGTTATTTTATTTGGTTCTTGTATCTTGCATTACTAGGTGTTCTGGCGCATGTATAGATACGATGCTAGGGTATGCTAACAACATGCGTACTATTGATAGTGGCACACATATTGATGGTGTTAAGGCTACATTGACAAGAAGTCTAAATAATCTTCGGAAAAAATAAAAATGCTCACGGTGTGTTTTTCTTCTTGTGTTCCTCAATTGGTGTAAGTTGTCTTTTATTGTCAGTATAGCTGAAGGATTTGAATAACTACAATGAAAAATGTAAAACTTTGTCCTTGATTGCATGTAAACTTCCAAGTTCCAACCTTTTGAGTTCCAAAAATTAGGATTAGGAAGAGATTAAATGCTACCAAGAGAATGAGTTATGATATTGCAAGTCCCAACATATTAATGCATTGCAAGAAGAAAATTTCATTAGTCTCTGTCCGGTGCAAACAAACATTAATTGTGACATGAATAGGACGAGGATAAAAGCTATTGTCATTTTCATTCTGTTAATGGTTCTTTTCTAGGATAAGGATATGAGATTAAGTGGTAAACACCTTAGGGAGGGATTGACATGTGTTATTTCAGTCAAAGTTCCAAATCCAAAGTTTGAAGGGCAAACAAAGGTACTTTCTATTCACAACATTTTATTGGGGACTCATCTGTTTGGTTGTCACGATGCTTTGGCTGATTTGATACTGCTATTGGCAATTACTCCTTTCATTGATGATGCCTAAGTTGACGACTTTCTTCTATCACTGAAGACAAGGTTGGGAAATCCTGAGGTGCAAAAAGTAGTTTTTCAATCTGTCAAGGAGTATCTTACTGAATTTTTGAAGTTCCATCCAGATGTACTTGATTCAATCCTTTCTAAGGACTCCCAAGGTGTCCCTTTGTAATTCAGATATCCTTGTTTCAATAAACATTTCAATGCATCAAGTCTCATTATCAAGGACTCACGAGTCCAATTGCAACAAGCTTTTAAATTTGAAAATCGAGCTCGTTATGATCTTTGATTGAGCTCGTTATGCTCTTAGATCGAGCTCGTTATGATCTCAGATTGAGCTCGTTATGCGCTCTGATCGAGCTCGCTATGCTCTCTGATCGAGCTCCTTATGACCTCAGATCGAGCTCGTTATGCTCTTTGATTGAGCTCCTCATAATCTTAGATTGAGCTCGTTATGCTCTCAGATCGAGCTCGTTATGCTGCTCATTTAAAGAATGTGTATGTCATAATGAAAACCCCAAGATCCATTTGACTCCAAGGTCAAATAACTAAAATCTAATGAAAAAAATAAATCTAACTTCAACAAGTAATAACTAGACATAAATATCAGAATCCCTAAAATAAAATATTTCTTCAAATAAATAATGAAAAGAAGTTTTTTGATTTTGCATAAGAAATTCTTATTTTTCCGAAAGATCTTTCAAATATAAGTCTCAATACTTTTAACAGTTCTGTAATTTTAATATCATTTTCTAGATTTAAACGTACAAATTTTGTTCGTTTTCATTTGACAATATAATTTTTTATTTTTTTTAAAAAACAATTATTATCGGTCCCTACAAATCAGTAAGTAATCGAAATTATTTTATTTGGTTCTTGTATCTTGCATTACTAGGTGTTCTGGTGCATGTATAGATACAATGCTAGGGTATGCTAACAAAATACGTACTGTTGATAGTGGAACACATATTGATGGTGTTAAGGCTGCACTGACAAGAAGTCTCAATAATCTTCAGAAAAAATAAAAAATGTTTAAGGTTTGTTTTTCTTCTTGTGTTCTTCAATTTGTGTAAGTTGTCTTTTATTGTCAGTATAGCTGAAGGATTTGAATAACTATATGAAAAATGTAAAACTTTGTCCTTGATTGCGTGTAAACTTCCAACTCCCAACCTTTTGAGTTCTAAAAATTAGGATTGGGAAGAGATTAAGTGCTACTAGGAGAATGACTTATGATATTGCAAGTCCAAACATATGAATGCATTTCAAGAAGAAAATTTCATTAGTCTCTGTCTAGTGCATCGAAACATAAATTGTGACATGAATAGGACGAGGATAAAAGCTATTTTCATTTTCATTCTGCTAATGGATCTGTTCCAGGATAAGGATAGGAGATTAAGTGGTAAACACCTTAGGGAGGGATTGACATGTGTTATCTCAGTCAAAGTTCCAAATCAAAAGTTTGAAGGGCAAAAAAAGGTACTTTCTATTCACAAAATTTTATTGGGTGCTCATGTGTTTGGTTGTCAAGATGCTTTGGTTGATTTGATACTGCTATTGGCAATTACTCCTTTCATTGATGATGCCTAACTTGACGACTTTCTTTTATCACTGAAGACAAGGTTGGAAAATCTTGAGGTGCAGGAAGTGGTTTTTCAATCTATCAAGGAGTATCTTACTGAATTTTTGAAGTTCCATCCAGATGTACTTGATTCAGTCCTTTCTATGTGCTCACAAGGTGTCCCTTTGTAATTCAAATATCCTTGTTTCAATAACCATTTCAATGAATCAAGTCTCATGATCAAGGACTCACGAGTCCAACGGCAACAAGCTGTTATACTCTCTGATCGCACTTGTTATGCTCTCTGATCGAGCTCCGTATAATCTCAGATCGAGCTCGTTATTCTCTCTGATCGAGCTCCTTATGATCTTTGATTGAGCTCGTTATGCTTTAGAATCGAGCTCGTTATGCTGCTCATTTAAAGAATGTGTATGTCATAATGAAACCCCAAGATCCATTTGACTCTAAGGTCAAATAACTACAATCTAATGAAAAAAATAAACCTAACTTCAACAAGTAATAACTAGACATAAATATCAAA